GGGCAATTCCCCATTCAGAGGCAAATCGCTCATCTACACTCAGGTTGATTTTGGCGAAATAGTCTTGTACTCGCCACTTTTGACAAGCGCTCTGGCAGGGACACAGTGCGCTTGGTCAATCCAATCACTGTACTCTTGAATTCGTCGTTTGCAAATCTTCTTCTCCACTTCTTCAGCCCTTAGGAAGATGCACCGCCATGGATCCCCCTTCATAAGATCTTCAGAAGAAGAAGATGCCCCTATTGCGCTCAATCCTCAGTGTCCCTAATCTTTCCCAGGTCCGATTCTTTGTGTTGTTCAAATTCAATCACGCGTTGATAGGGTGCATAAATAGGACAGCTCTGTGTTTTTGCTATATTGGAGTGCGCTTGATTGTGCTTGTGGATTGTTAAACGATGGACAGGCAACAATAGCAACGGCAACAGCGTAACACTTTGAGTACTGTGTTGCAGCGTTGATATTTGACGGGAAAGGAAGATTGGCGACAGGCCCAGAATATGTCACCATCAAACGCGATGCTAATGAGAAAGGTACTGCTATGGTTGTTATCCATCCACAGCAAGCAGACGTAATAAAAGTAGATTGATTACCTTCACCGGCATGGTGTTATCGCTATTAGGCTAGAAGGGGCAAACATGATTTCTGATGGCGAAGGGGCGTAGAATGCTTTGAGCACTGGGCCATCGTGGTTTCTAATCAAGGATTCATACATTATCATCATGATGTCCCTTAACCACGTGCTTCACAATTGGGTTGTAGAATGCTTTGGGCACTGGCCATCATGATAATATAGGAATACTTGATAAAGAGGGGGCGTGGTGGGTGGGAAGGGGAAAGGGGGAAAAAATTAACTAATGTTTTAGTGATTTAGTAATTTTTAAATCAATCTACCTTTTTTTGTCGGTTTAGCACAACATGATATACCTCCTGCTCTCACACGAGTTGGACACCACATTCCTCCTAAGTCGAGAGTACAATTAAGAAAAACAAGCGCACCCGTCGCGGCTATGCCCGCGGCGTACAGCGCAGTCCCTAACATGTCTGAAAGCGAATGTGAAACGGTTTTCACCTTTGCAGTGACAGATGCAGATCCCAGGGCTCGATCCCTAGACCTTGCCTCACCCGTGTACAATACCCTATGTGTTTTGAACCTGTGGCCTGCGTTTTAGGAGTCAGTTGTTCTCTGTCGTAGGTCGGTGTAGTTGTCGGGTCTTGAACCTTAGGTCTGTCGMGTAGGGGTCAAAGTTGCGTAGAGATCGTAACTGTAGTGATTCTGAAAGGTTAAGGYCGTAGCTGCTACAGTCCTGAAGGGTCAAGGTCATAGCTGCTACAGTTTGGAAAGGCCAAGTCCGCAGGCTTCCGGAAGGTCCGGAAGAGGCCTTTCGAACGTTGCTCACAGCAGACCAGAGGCAAGTGGGCAAGTGGTGAGTCCACCCTTGCTTAGTTAGTGGTACCTAGTCCTTGTCTCACTTAGTCCAGTCAGCAAGTACCTTGTGGGACTGTGTGCACCAAGGGCCCCGTGGAAAAAGGGGCAGACCAGTCACCAATAGAAGTATAAATCAAGAGGCAGCGTCCAGCGATTCATTCATTCCTGTGTGAGCCCATGCGGAAGCTCTGCCTAGGCGTCTTGTGCAAGGTGGTCTGCAGAAGCCCGAGGTTGAAGTGGGCGTAAGGGAGATAGAGTGTCCATAGCCAGTAGAGGTTAGGCGG